GAGGAAGAGCTATAGTTCAGCTTACTTCTATAGAGGTGACATATCAATCGGAATAAAACTGGAGGGGATCTTAAAGATTTTCTAGTCCGATCTCTTCTTAAAAACCTCCAGCCACCATTTCTGGTGGCAAGCTGTTCCACTGGTTAATTGTCCTCACTGTTAGGAAGTTTCTCCTTAATTCCAGTTTGCTTCTCTCCTTGGTTAGTTTCCATTCATTGTTTCTTGTCTTGCCTTCTGGTGCTTTGGAAAATAAGTTGACCCCCTCTTCTTTGTGACATCCCCACAAATATTGGAATATTGCTATCATGCCACCCATAGTTATCTAGGTGTCATGTTATCTGACAGTGACCTAACAATGAGAACAATTAATCAGCAGAATGACTTGCCTCCAGATGTTTTGGGTGCTCCAAAACTGGACGTTTTAAAAAAGAGATTGGACAACCTTTTGCCTGTAATGGGGTGGGGATGGGGGGATTGGACTAGAAGACTTGCCAGGTCCCTGCCAGCTCTGTTATTCTGTTCAGTTTGATGCATAGATATTGACAACAGGATCTTTAGGAAAGATGATATTGTCCAAAATGCCACATTAAGCAGATCTATATAAAGGAGGGAAACTGGAAAGTGTTTAACTTTCAAACACTTACATTTTTGACAGACATATATTTGTTTCAGAAATAACTAGTTTTCTTATTCATCTTATGATCCTCCAGTAAGATTTGTCTCCAAGAAATTACTTGCACGAAATAAAAAGTGTAAGACCAGCACTTAAAAAAAACCCCAAGTAGTTCTTTTTCGTCATCCTAATAATCTTTAAAAGAATAAAGATAAATACACAAGCATTGATTGTTCTTATAGTCCTTTAACTGATCAGCTGGAATGACAATAATTTAAGAATAGGAGCCAAGTATTTCATGGTAGATTCCTCTGCTATGATCTAATCTAATATAGTACAAATAAAACAAACATGAACAAATAAAAGCTTTATAGGTATGAATGACAGAATATTTGTTGTAAAAAATATTTCCTTTGAGGTTTGACTTCTGGTGACTATTTAGACTGTCCCTTCTTTGCAAGCCTTTTCAGAAGTGATCTGCATTGTATTATGCCTTCTATTGTAAGTGATAGTTGTGAGATGCTATCACCAGTAATGATGTCTTGTCTATTTTTTTTCTTTTTAGCCATAGTTGGATATTAAGTATTTGTTTGCCTTTGCATTTTTTAGGAGAAAGCCGAAGAAGTTTATAATCTCTACCAGAATTCCACACTTTCATCCCATCCTATTGTTGGTTTGTCTGAGCTGCGCTCCCTATGCACCAGCATCTGTCCAGATGAGCGAACATTTTGTCTGGTGCTGCTCCAATTGCAGAAGGAGAAGAGGGTCACTGTCCTGGAACAGAATGGTAATAAGGTATGGCACTCAATTGTCTGCTTCAGGAAGGGATCCCATCTCTTTAAGAAACCATAGACAATAAAATCATAGGGCTGGAAGGGACCCGGTGACCTTCTAGTTCAGTGTTTCTCAACCTAGGCAACTTGAAGATGTCCGGACTTCAACTCCCAGAATTCGCTGGCTGGGGAATTCTGGGAGTTGAAGTCCGGACATCTTCAAGTTGCCTAGGTTGAGAAACACTGTTCTAGTTCAACTCCCTGATCAAGGCAGGAGATCTTTATACCATTCCAGTAAAATGATTATCAAGTTTTAGTTTTGAAAACTTACAGTGATGGAGCACCCACAATAGTCAAGCTATTCCATTGATTAATTGTTCTCACTATCAGAAAATTTCTCCTTATTTCTAAATTGAAACTCTCTTTAAAAAGCTTCCAACTGTTACTTCTTGCCCTGCCCTCTGGTGCCATAGAGAATAAGGTAGAGCAGCAAAGGATAATCTTTTACGTCACCGCGTGCCAACCTGTGTGCTGGAAATGGCACACAAAACCATCCCGCTTGGAATGCATGGCCTATCGGGTCTTCATGCGGGAGCTCCAAAACCCGGAAAAGCAGCGTTCCATCGCGCATGCAACCACTGGCACCCAAACTTCCAATTTCCAGCATGTACGAGCACCCAATGAACAGTTAGCTGTCTTACATGCGCTCGCTGGAAACCTGGTAGTTCAGGTGCCAGTGCATGAATCCATGATGGAACGCTGCTTTTCCGGGTTTCGGCGCACGAAAGCCAGCTGGCCAACACGCATGCGGATACAGGAAAGCAGAAGAGGAACCAGTGAGGCTGCACATCCTGCATGGGATGGCTCTGCATGCCACTTCCAGCAGGTGTTTCATAGGTTCGCCAACATGGAAGTAGAGGTTTCCCATGTCTAGTCATGTATGATTCTAGGAAGTGGTGCTCATCTCCGTTTCTTAGCTGAGGGAGCCAGTATTGTCTGAAGACACTTCCATGGTCATGTGGCGAGCATGGCTAAGCTGTGGTGCACGGAATGCTATTGCCTTCCCACCAAAGTGGTACCTATTTATCTAGTTGTATTTGCATGCGGTTGAACAGGTAGGTTGGCAGGAGCTAAGGCAAATAATGGGAGCTCACCTCATCACACGGCGCTCGGATCTCGAACTCAGGCTGTCAGCTTTCCAGATGAAAAGTTCAGTGTCTTTAACCATTGAGCCATTGTGCCCCTTTAGGAACAATAATAAATCTTATTCATCTTATTAAAAGGCCATTCTTGTTTAGTTTAGTTTACTTTATTGTCATTGCACATCGTACAACGAAATTAAATGCCATCTTCAGTGTACAATATAACTATAAAAACACAAACACATATCCTTCACATTCTGTATAGTTAAAATTGAAAACCTGATATTGCATTAATATAGCACTACACAGTAGAATTCAATATAGGTACTGCTCTGGGATAGAAGTTGTTTTTCAGCCTATTTCTCCTTGTTTTTATTGTCCTCTACCATCTGCCAGATGGTAATAGTTCAAAAAAAGGGTGCCCAGGATGAGATGGATCTTTAAGGATGTTTTGAACTTTCTTAGGGCAGCGGGAGCTATAAAGCTCTTCCAAAGAGGGGAGAGGGTCACAACCAATGATCCTCTGGGCAATGACGTTGACCCTCTGGAGCACTGTCCTATCTACCACTGTGCAATTGGCAAACCATAAACAGGTGCAGTAAGTTAAAATACTCTCTATGGTGCAGTGGTAGAAATTCACCAGCAGTTTCCCCTTCAGTAGTTGTTTCCCGAGGTCGTATCATCTCTGCTGGGCCTTCTTCTCTCTAGACTGGCCAAGCCCAATTCCATGTATTGGTCTCCA